GTAATACAAATGATCGCAGTAAGTTTGAGGTAAAAATGAAAACTAATAGCAGTTAGATTGAGATAAGGTTGTTTTCGATTTTAATTAGGTTCCTTGTTAATATAATTGTAATAAACCCTAATGCATAATTTGTTGTGAATCGAATTGCAGTGGCCTAACAATGTATTGTCACTAAATCAACTCATAAAAATAAAATTTCATAAATAAATATTTTAAAAACATTTGACGAAACAATATGCTGTAATTCCTTTTTTTTTTTTTTTGGGTGTGTTTTTGGCTATGGGATTCATTGACGGAGTATGCAATTTATTCTTTGTGTACGGATCACGGGTAATATTTACATCAAATTTAATTAACTTAGGTGTATACTATAAAATCATAAAAATTGGGTTTTCCTTTAAGGTAGTATAAATTTTTGGAGTGGTTTTAGAAGATGGCAATGCTTTTATGAATAACCGAAATTGGAATATGTAATGAAGCTATGAACAAAGTTTAGATACATGCTTGGTTTCCTACCTTAGTTACTCTTTTTTATTTTCTTCTTGTTAAAACCCATTTGCAGATTAAGCTGCGGGCTGCCTCTGTTGGTTTCAATCTCATGATATGGTATTGCTGGCTTCTTACTTTACTTTTCTTTTGTATTTCCATAATTAGGATATTAACATTTTTGTAGTCTTTGTTAGGTGATACTGCTCTAATTGTTTTACTGGGGATGCAGTTAGAAGATTATGATCACACGCTTTGATTGCTGCGTTGGTGAAATCTGCTGAAAGCAACATCTTAACATCCATTCTGCTGAACTTTTTGGCCTGCATCACTGCATAGAAAAGGTAAAGTAGTCAATTTCTCCTTAACCAACCGTTGTTAGCAGCTGTGGATTGTAGTGCCTTTTGTGAAACACTTGAAATTCCTTTCACAAAAATGGATTGATTTCAAGGGTTGTTAGTTGTTAGATTTTTAAGAATCATAAAAATAAAACATGTTACTGCATGTTAGTTAATGATGTTGATTGCAACAAATGAATTGTTCATGTGGGGAAGCCATGACAAATGTTGAAGAAATACCTCATTTACTAGTCCATAGTTTTTAAAATTTGTAGTCAAGCACTGATTGCTTTTGCTGAATAGTTATAAATAATGGCATGCATTTGGTTGAAGTTGATATCAGTCTTTCAAGTGGAAAATCGCAACTCGCTTCTTGGGGTTCTTTTTCTAGTTATTATAAATGCCTATGGGCTGGTAGAATGATGCTCCACTCACTTTGTATTCAGTAATAATGAGATACCAGGGGCAATTAAGAGTAACACTTTTAGAACAGCACCATAGCACAGTTTTTTATCCTGAACATGTGAGGATCGGTTAACCATGAAAGCAACGTGATACAAATGGTCATTTTGGGTTCTCAGTCCCATTAATCTTCCTTGATAAGGGGTTTGCTTAGGAAATACTGCTCTGAGTTTTTACTACCATCACGTCAGGTTTCAGTCTGGTCTCTATATTAATGAGCCGTTTGCTATAACTTTTTTTATCAGTACTGAACAGTGTCTTCTCTTTCTGCAACATCTTTGCTTAACTTGATTTACAAACTTTGTTTGAAGTTTAAACACCAGTCTTTCTATAAGTACTTGATACATCAAACGTCAAAGAGGTTGCCAGATGGCCAAATTTAGCAATTAAATATACATGCCTAGCAAGAAATTTGAAGTGACACCAATATATAAGAATCCCATTAAATAGGGAGAAAGATATCCAGTCGGGATCCAGCTCGTGGTTTTTGTTTGTTTTTGTGGAGTTAAAGGCTGTTAAAAGTTTGATTACCTAAGAAGCATTTTGATGCTTTAGCAGGTCGTGCAATGAAAGCTTGATCTCTTGATGACAGGTTGGAGACAAAAAGTTCAACGCCAGTTCACACAGTTGGCATCTCATCCTAATTCTCTCACCAAATCACCATTGAGGCTTGAAGATGTGGTAGATAAATTGGTATTGCACACTCCAATTAACGCTGAGGAGAAAGAGAGAACCGAAAAAAGACAATATAGTAAGAAGATAGTCAAGATATCACCCATATTCAGTATGGCAAGGTAGGTAAAACCGCTTCTGCAAGATAGCGACTTCTTCAAGATTTATATAAGTTGATCATGACCCTTTCGAGAGCTGATCCACATGAACTATTCCTTCACTTTTATTATACATTTTTACTTGGAAAAAATATATAAACTGGCTTGAAAATAAAGTGGCAAAATGTATGCTGTAAAAACTTGAAAGAAGCTTATAAGAATGCCAGATGGAGGGGGCTTGATTCATAAGTGATGAAACGGAGGTGGGCCAGGTGGCACTTGTGATTTGATGGGGCGTAACGTCAAATTCAGGGTTGGGGGAAGGCTAGGGAAATGGAAAACAGAGGGCAAGAAAGACAGTGACAATATCTTTGCCTAAGGTCACTGAAGGTAGATAAGGCCTGAAGTATTGGGCGAAACTGCTCTTTTAATTTTAACCTTCAAGTGAAAGCTTCACATCAATATAAAACAAGTCAATTTCTTTCTATTTCCGATTGGGGTATAGTTGTGGGAAAACATTTGAAAACATCTCCATGTTTTGCCTCTTCTTATTTTTGGCACTAAAGAGTAAAGATATCTGATCATTGTATTCTCCATATGGATGCATCTGAAATTGAATTAAGATATAATTAATTTCTATTCAAAGATGCATGAAAAAAGAGGAACTGGCAATAATTATGCAGATTGATCACTACAATTTTCCCCTTGAAGGATGATTCTCCAAAGTGCTCAATCTAAATCTTTCATAGGCTTATTGAAAACAAGTACATCGAAAAACAATTGGCTATCATCATCCTTTGACTGCTTCGTTACTAAATATCTATGATGTCCCATTTAATCATGTTTATTTCAGTAATAAACATGATAGAGACTGAGGGTTTCCATCTGAAGCGGTCTAATCAAGTTATTAAATAAATGGTTTTCATATATTTGTTTAATGATACATGATTGGCGATTGCATGGTTAAGGTGAAACGGCTTGCACCAGCTACCAAAGTTACCAGCCTTTTGGTAGGTTAAAAAAATTAGGAAATATATGGTTTGTTTCAAGAATCGATTTAATGTTTCTATAGTCACCCGGCATTTTTTTCTCTTTGTGGCCACTTTAAACAATTATTACCCAAATATTGTCCTTTACTTTTTTCCTTAATTAATTAACCCATTAATTTTAGATATTCTTTAATTAAAAAAAAGGCATTTTTTGGCACTATGGTTTTATTTAAATTTTATAATATTTCAATTTTTATAGGGATAAATTTGTATGTAAATTATTTTATTTGTCTTAATTTTTTATATTAAAGATTATTAAAAGTTAAATTTTGATCACTAGTCTAAAATTAAAACTTTAGTACTTTATAAATCGATCACATAGTTGATTTTTTTATTAAAAATTAAAAAGGATAAAAACCTCAGTGAACCGGACAAGTGTTCTGATCTCTAATAGCTTTGATGAACTATTTTTATGTCTGGTTTAACGTTTGTTGTTTCCAAAACATGGTAGTTAGTTTCCTAAGACGAATTCAAAAGAGACACAAACAAAGGACAAATCTCCACAAATGGATGACAGTCACTGCTTGATTAGATGGCAATCATGAAGAAAATGAAAAGCTATTTCACTCTTTACCGCCCAGCATTGCTAAATAGGTGCCACGTCGAGAGAGCCTTTAGGCTCCACTAATATGACTTGGGACAAATTTTCGACAACTTATAATTGGAACCAAATGGCTACAACAATGGAAGCTTCCCTGTAGCTTAGACTAATGGATTTTGTATGGTGTTTGTTAGGGATTCCTATTTTGGAAGAAAAAGGCAGGGTTTCCTTTGGAGTGTTTTACCGTCAGCTTCATTAGTTTAATTAACAAAAAAACAGTCTCCCACATGTAGCATCTGTTTTTAATATTAATCCAAGAATTTACTTTTGTTTAAGCTTAACAGTAGATAGTTACACAAATTCCTATAGGAAATCGCGCGGGTCATCGAAGCAAGTTGGATTAGGTTTTAGGGACTCTTAATGGCCCAACAAGATCCTATTTACAAGTAAACAAAGTTATAATCTATGCTTGAAACATGAGTTTATGTTTTTATGGAACATGAAAATTACCAACTAGCTAAAAAAAATTAGCACCATACTGCTTTGTTTCTCATGGACACAAGTCTAGATTGAGTCAAAAGTCTCCAAATCTGATAGCTGGCTTAACACATTGACTACTAAAAAGCAACAAAGATGAAGGTTTTGAGGAGATTCAATGCTTCTAAAGTTAAAAACACCCCAACAATTTGCACACATTGGAGATGCAGCCTCCCTTGGCACAGAAACTCCCTCTATCAAAACCCCCATATAATATACTATACTATACCATACACCTATAATAGATGGATAGATGTCTGAAATGTCTGAAAGCCCCAAAACCCACGCTTCAGCAACAGTCTTGACCCTCACAAAAGTCTCCTCCTAAGACTTCCCCTAGGCTCATATTTCGTAACAAACCAACTGCTATTAAGTATTTTAATAACTCAAAATTTGAATTAATGTGGAGCAATACTTTGGCCAATTGAGTCAATTTAGGATTAATTATTGAAATATATTTGATTATAGGACTTGGAAATATAATTGCAAACCAACTTTAAAATAAGATTATTCAAATAGGAGAAGTCAGAGAGGGAAGCAGGGTCTCCATGCTTAGATAATGCACTGTCTTTTATGTTTTTATTGCTTCTTTAACATCTTTTTTTGCCCTTAAGGGGTGACTAAATGAGGAATGGGCGTATCAGATTAAGATCAAGCCAAACTTTGCTCGCCTTGGGCAGAGACAAACACTTAAGAGATCCGGGCAGGGGTTGGACGTGGGTGGTGACTAATATCTCCATTGCCCGTTTGCCCTTAAGCTTTACCTTTTTTTTTGCTAGGCCTTGGATTTTGGGGTAAAAAAAGGCTCCATTGAAATAGAAGAGAGAGAAGAAACCCAAGCTCTCTTTGCACTTTATTCTCTTCAAATTCGATACTTTGCCCTGTTCCCTCACTGAGGTTTTTTGTTTAAATACAGAGCCAACTCAAAGGAAAAAAAAAAGCTCTTTTTCTCTTTCCTACATTGTATTGTTCTAACCTCAGAATCTCTTTAGTCTTACTTCCACGCTTTTGTTGTTGACGCTCTCTGTTCGTTTTCCGTTTCAATTCTTCCTCAGTTTCTCTTTTTCCTTCACTTTTCCTTTCTTATCCCTCTGTTCTCTCTTAGACTTCTCCAGCAGAAAAGACTTATAAGTGAAAGACCAAAGGAAAAAAAAAAAGGGAAATGCCCAACTGGGTGTTTTCGGTTTTCACCTGTTAAAAATAAAATAGTAATGCTGATTCAAAACTGGAACTTCCTTTGTTCCCCCACTTGTTTTCTCTTCATATCCTGAGGGAACAGAGGACTACCCTTCTCTTCTTTTCTGCTATCATTCAAAATTAACCCACTTTTCTCCCAATATTTTCAGCACGAAACTTGAACTTTCCCTCTTGTTTTCTGAAAAGCCCTGTTTTCGAGATTTTTTTTTGTATTTGTCTTTGTTCACATTTTATCAAAGGCAAAAACACCTGAGAATATTAAGTCATAGCTAAGCCAAAAGAAGCAACTCAACAAAATCATTATCATTGCTTACAAATCTGGATAGGCTATATGAAAGTTGTGAAACAATGACAGATGGGAACTCCAAGAAGAGCAAGGTTTTTTTAAGACAAGCCAGAAACTCATTTGATTCTTGTGTCATTTTATGTAGAGTATGACATTGCTGATTATGCTAAGTGTATTTCCTTGATGAAGCTTTCATGGCCCAAGACATTGGTCAAGAAGTGGTTCAATATCAAGAGTAAAACTGAGGACTTTCATGCTGATGATGTTGATTATGGAGGTGATTTGATTCATTTTTAAAATCTTTTTTGTTCTGTTTTCTTGCATGTGTTTTAGACTATAAATTTGGTTCTAGAATTGGAATCTTTTAGCCTTTTATATACCAAGAACAAAGATATGATTTTTTTTTTGAAAGCGAAAACTATCTTGATTTTAGATTCTTCTGGATCCTTGACACTTACATTATTATACTTCTATAATTTCACTCTGTGTTATACGAAAATTTATTTTGGTTTGAATTTTTATGAGGGGTTTGGTACTTGCCATTTGCAGCTCAAGATCTGGAATTTGTTTTCTGAAATCCTTAGTGTTTTGTTTTTCATGGTGTTTGAATAAGTGAAAATGATTCTCTGTTGATGAGAGAGAGAGAGAGAGAGCAGCTTTAACAACTTTATGATTTTTCTTTTCAGGTGTTGATGAAGATTGGAGGCACAACTTCTCAGAGAGGGAGGCATGCACCATCAAGAAAAGTAAAACAGGTCCGGAATCAAACGCCACTAAAGTGATTGCTTTGGACCACATCTCTTTGTTATTTCAGTTCTCACCTCTTCAGAACTTCAATTAAATCAATATTAAAATTTTAATATTGTTTCTTCTCCACAAACTTTTAATTTGTTACCTGGATTGGATGCTAGAGAGATTGAGCAAGAGGTATTCTGATGGAGTTGGACGAAGTAAAATTGATCTTGATGGCTCGCAGTTTACAGATTTAAATAATTATAGGTATTTTTAATTGCTTTCTGGGGTAGAGTTTTGCTGCATAGGATTTGGTTTCAAGTGCGCTTTTTGTTTCCAAATGGGGCGCAGGATTTTTGTAGCTACATGGAATGTGGCTGGAAAATCTCCTCCTAGTTATTTGAATCTTGAAGATTGGCTTCATACCTCTCTTCCTGCTGACATTTATGTTCTCGGGTATGCCAAACTAATCCTGATTTCTTCTACATCTCAATTCTTTTAAGCAAACAAATTTTATGATATTGACAGAAGCCTCTTGGATACCTTCATTTGGCATTTTAGGTTTCAAGAAATTGTTCCTTTAAATGCTGGTAATGTTTTGGGCACCGAAGACAATGGACCGGCCAGGAAATGGCTAGCCCTTATTAGGAAGGCTCTGAATAGTCTTCCCGGAACAAGTGGTGGTTGCCACACACCTTCCCCAATCCCTTATCCGCTTGTTGAACTGGATGCAGACTTTGAAGGATCAACAAGGCGGAAAACTTCATCTTTCTTTCACCGCCGATCATTTCAATCCTTGATTGGTAGCATGAGAATGGATAACGACATGGCAATGCCACATCCCCTGCTTGATCGGCGCTTCAGTGTCTGTGATCGTGTTATCTCCGGGCATAGACCAAGTGATTATGACCCTAATTTCAGATGGGGTTCCTCTGATGATGAGAATGGACCTGGGGATTCACCAGGAAACTCTCAGTATTTGCAATATTCTCCAATGTCGTATGGAGGATCTTTTGCCATGGAGGAAACCAACAGACAAATGGGTCAGTCAAGGTACTGTTTGGTTGCCAGCAAGCAAATGGTTGGGATATTTCTAACAGTATGGGTGAAGAGTGATCTTAGAGATGATGTTCGCAACATGAAAGTGTCTTGTGTTGGCAGAGGATTGATGGGTTATCTTGGAAACAAGGTACATTTTTGCCTATGAAACCCTCTGATTTGAGAGATTTTGTTGAACTAGGAATAAGGAAGCATACTCATGTCTTGGGTTTTCCAGGGTTCCATTTCAATAAGCATGTCTTTGCATCAAACCAGCTTTTGCTTCGTCTGTAGTCATTTAACCTCTGGGCAAAAGGAGGGTGATGAGCTTCGAAGAAACTCTGATGTTATGGAGATCCTCAAAAAGACAAGGTTTCCCAGGGTTAATGATATGGGAGATGAGAACTCGCCCCAAACGATTCTAGAGCATGAGTAAGCCTTCATATGTTTAATTTGACTTTATTAATGCATGTCAGAATAAGATACCACATTATTTTCCCAGAAATTCCAGTCTTATTAGAAATTTAGCGTTAGCATTTGGCATAAAATTCTAAGTTTTGAATGTCTTGGCACAGTCGTATTATCTGGCTTGGAGATTTGAATTATCGGATTGCTCTGTCATACCGTTCTGCAAAGGCTCTGGTTGAGATGCGCAATTGGAAGGCCTTGTTAGAGAATGACCAGGCATGTTCTTATCCTTTCTCAATTCATTCTATATATTTATTTTGGTTTTCATTTTTGAAGGAGCTTTGTGCTGCTCTTAATTCCTATGAGAATCTGAAAATTTGATTGTTTTCCAGCTTCGGATAGAGCAGAGGCAAGGCCGTGTTTTTGAGGGATGGAGTGAAGGAAAAATTTATTTCCCTCCTACGTACAAGTACTCAAATAATTCAGACAGATATGCTGGGGAGGATAGGCACCCAAAAGAGAAGCGAAGAACTCCTGCATGGTAATCTCCCTATTTACCTAGTACTTTTTTTCAGTAATTGGGGAAATTATAATTATGGAATTTATGTCTTTGAGAAAAACTTGTCACATGATTTTGCTTTTGTAAAGAACTGTTGATCTAATAATCATAATACAAGCAAGTGAGCTGATATTTGTGAAGGTGTGATCGTATACTGTGGCATGGAAGAGGTCTCCGTCAGTTATCTTATGTTCGTGGGGAGTCAAAGTTCTCGGATCATAGGCCTGTTTATAGTGTATTTTCTGCGGAGGTTGAGTCTATTAACCGCAGTAGAATCAGGAAAAGTGTGAGTTGTTCCAGCGCCAGGATTGAGGTTGAAGAGCTGTTGCCAGAGTCACATGGATATAATGAACTCAGTTTTCTTTGAGAGGATTCTTTAACCATCCATATTCTATGCTACACTTGAGGAAAATGAAACAGGATTAAGTGCATGGCTGTAGAAGGTAATTTGTCTTTACCAGGGAATTAAACTGATTCCTTCAAACCTTAGAATTAAAGCTATTTCTCTTGGGCTGTTAACAGGATATCTTATACTACATAAAGGGTTTCATGAAGAAAGTTCGATTCCTTCAGGAATCTAACCCTGCTTTCTCTCCTGAATCAGTCAGGTAGTTTGACTTATTTCATGTGTGCCCTAAATAAAATAGAGTAATTTCGATCCCATTTTGTCTTGTTTGTAGGAAGAAAAGTATATGCTATTTTGAAATGTACCTACAGCTTTCTAGTGCTCTCCCTACCATGATTGATATCTCATGGACCAAGTAATATGCAGGCCTTTTTGGCTTAAAAAAAGGGTTTTCTAGTCAAGTCTTACTCTCCTGTAGAAAATGGAAGGTGAACTTCGAATATTTTCTGAAAGTGTTGCTGTAAATCATGTCTTCTTTCCCCGTTGAAGTGTTTTTAACTTGAGAAAATCACTTGCTTGTTTATAGTCTTATCTACTGATTGGTCTACCATTTTACAGGTGGACACTGCCCTATGGAAACTACACCGAGGTGGCGACAAGACATTGTTGCTTCAGTCCAAAAGAAGGTTGGCCCCCCCTTTTGATAGTTTGGATGTAATTTCTTATCCTAATACCATTTGTCTAATTCGCTACATGACTTTTCCCTGTTGCAACAGGTAAAAATTGTATATTGACTATAATTCCTTACCCCAGGAGTTTTCAGCATTCGGTTGCCTCACCACAAATCCAGCTTCAAAAACGCATTCATGACTTAGCGATAATTGACAAGACAAGTTGTTAGTTTGTTCTTGTCCGAATTCCATTGAAACCTTTACTGATTGGCATGGCTTGCTTTACCATCATACCTGGTAAAAGCTCCCTCTCAAGTTTCAACATGAGATTTTGCCTTGTGGGATCAGTTTCGGAGTGTAGAAGTTCCATTGTTCCAAGTCTTCTGCTGGTCTGCTTCTATCAGAAATCCCTTTTGTAAATTACAGCAGAAAGAGAATCAGTTTCATTTTTTCTTTTTTCTTAAAAAAATAAGGAGAGAGATAATGGAATCAATTATCATTTCTTTTTTGTATCACATAAAGCCCGGAGATGTGATGGATACTCATTACTAGTGCCTAGAGCCTAGAGGATAAATACAAGAAGTTTTTATTTTTGTGAACCTTCTTTTTCTGTTTCTCCTAACCATTTTACTGATAAAGAGAAACTAGTTTGTTTGATTACCTCTGCCCTTTTTTTTTTCACATCTCAAATTCTAACCTGAAAGTAAAAGAAAACCTGAATCCCAATAAAGCCTGAAAACCTACTTCATTCAAGAAAAATAAAAGGCAAAATTTATGGTTAGAAATTTCAATAGCTCCAGCTTCAGCTATTGTCAACACAACACAAAAAGGTGATGCATCACCGACTCACGAAAAGCATTAAAGCCCTGTTCAACTGTGAATGCGAAATTTAGTTAGGTGCAAACTTGAAGCAATGTGGTCCTTTCTGCTATGGTAGCTCTACTTGCTTACTGCCAATTATTTTGTGCATGGTTGGGTTTTTTACTCATAGACCAACTAACCCTTTGGGAACTGTCAGAAGCAAGGCATTTATGAAACCGAAGGTGTGATCATTTCTTTTTCTTTTTTTTCCAACCCAGTCTTTCTCAAGCTATGTCCTATTTATGTTTTACTTTTGCGCTAGTGATGGAACACCAACTGATCTTGCACTGTAAAATAAAGACATCGATGTCCAAAACTCCTCCCCCACATATATAGTAACAATCAAAGTCAACCAGTTAAAGATTTTTTTATCTCGACAGAATTCAGTTCAATTAACATTTTGCACACTAAAGAAACATTAATAGATTTTAAAGTTCTATTATTTTTTCCTGAAAGCAGCTAGATAAACAATGAATAGAACATTCTTTCCTTTAAATTAAAAAAAAAATAAAAGCAAGATTGATCGTGAGGAGCTGGATTTTGTACCTAACAAAAATTCTAGTATTACTATTAACAGTTACTCTTAAAACCGCGACACTGCAACAAATCAACAGCAAATGTTACATCAATGGTTAGGAAATTTTAACCAAACAACGAGTTTAAAAGGTTAAAAATAAAAAAGGAACTGAAAACAACGCCCGCTCTAGGCGACGGCTTTTGTCCGGAAGATATGTCATTCGCTCTCTCGCTTTCTGAGCCCACAATACCTTCTTTGTTCTGATTTCTCGTAACCGCATTAAGTGCACGTGTTTTCCAATATGGAAGGTGGTCCTGATCGTGTCCTAAACGCGTTCTAAAGGGGCGTGAAGAAATGTGGTAGATTTTCTATTTTGGTACGGCCAAGAAACAGTAAAAGGTCACTTTTTTCATGAGACCAATTAAAGCTAGCCATGTCCAATAAAATTCTGCCAAGTGGCATCTTGATATTCTTTGGTAGTAATTTAAAATAAAATAAAATTCATATTGGTAATTGAGTTTTGATAGTACCGTAGAAATGCAAATCAAATTGTGCTATAGAAATGAAAATTCATAATTTGATAGTACTATTGAGTTTTGATGGTAATTTTGGTACCCCAAAAATTGTACCATAGAAATGCAAATCAATACCATTGATAAAATCTTACGATTTATAAAGAAAATGTAAGAAATAGGTGGAGTTTTTGATGGTGCATGTACCTGAGAGCCATAAACAATTAAACATGCTTCAACCACTTTTAAATGATGATTAATAAGTGGATAATATTTTATGATAATTAATCAACAGTAATATAAGTGTGTTATGTTGATAAATTGTTGAATTTTTTATTTTTATGATAAAAATTAATTTTTTTATAATTTTAAATATTATTAAAAAATATCTAATGATAATTGAAGGAATTTTATCACTCATTTGATCAAGGAAAATTTAGAGAAGAAAATTTACAACATGGACTCCTTTGCTAATTTCCAACATTTCAAGCTGATTTTTTTCCGTTATTTTCGTTTCTTTATAGTTTCTATTCCTTTATTTTTAATACTCCACTTTAGTGCTTTGCACGTTTGTATAGGGTTGGCTCACCAAAGTGGCTTAAATAGCATTAACCACATGGAAATAAATTTGTGTGGATGTCACGACATGATGAAATTTGGTACGTAAATCGTGGCTTGAGAAAATTAAACCATAGATTGAATGCTTTTCAACTTGATTGGACTGGTTGTAAGTCAGTCTCTTAAAAGGGGTTCAAAACTTTGCAAGATCTCGCTGACTGCTGCAATCAGTTGACATTCAACGGATTTGCAATAAAAAATGGAAAAATAAAAAAAAAAAGAAAAACTTGATCATGACTGGTGCTCTTGAATGAGCCAGCTAGCCACTCGATCTGGAAACAGGAATAATTTAAACGAAGACTTCTATCAAAAGAATCGGTTTTGAAGGTTGATAAGGAGGGGCCAGTTTGGATTGGGTGTCAAAGAAAAACATTGGGAAAGGGTGGGGGTCCTAGTTTTGAGGGGATAAAAGAAATTAGGAAAAGGCTTTTTCTTGTCCAGAATCTGAGGATTTAGATTTTCATACCTGGATTTGTGATCTTATACAGACTATACTATACGTACTAGCTTACGAGTACGTAGCATTTGTTGCTTTCAAATGGGGAATTTTCCAGCTTGAACTTGCGTGATATATAAATGTTGAATTATGTGAAATAGACAATAAGAAGGGGATCGACAGAAAAACAACAAGAAAACTGATTTGGGTGCACAAATCTCTAGGAATAGTAAGTTAAAAGGTTTTTTGTGAGGCTGCATTGACAGGCACAAGCAATGCAATGGTGGTTTTTTTTTTTTTTTTGTGTGTGTGTGTGATCAAACGACATGTTTTGGACGTTTACGGGTTGAAAAAGAATCCCATAACATAAAGCCTGATCAACACAGACAGAAATGACATTTGGCAAGCACTTTTATGCATGGGGACCCGAGTATCCCCATGCCCTGCTTAACCCTTCTTTTTCTTATTTTTAGTATTGTTTGTTCCTTAATTTTCCATCAATCTGCCTTTAAAGGACATGGATGTTTCGGCAATCGAAGACAAATGTGATTGTGTGATGATGAATCCAAAAGGAAAGGAGGAGGCAGAGAAGAGAGGTGCTGCGGGGGCTCATCCTCCCAATATCAACCTAACTCCAAACTAGTTGACCTTTCTCCATAACATTCTTGACTTCGTGGTACCGCTAATATTGCAAAGATTTTGACGGAGAGATTTTGTTTCAATTGGAGGGTGTATTTATCTTTTTTTTTTTTTTCATACTAGTACATATTTATTCTATTCTCTTTGGCAAAATAGTGAATAAATGTAGCAGCTAGCTGGGATTGGATAATTTGTTCGCTGCTTCTTCACTTTTATTACTTCTTTCGTGCAAAATGAAAATGTCCTATCCTTCGTCCGGGGCAGAATTCGCTTACGTACCAAAATCATACGAGATTTGGTTGCCATATTAATGATGAACATGATTGGAGTAAACCACAATGATTAATTAATTTGATTAAGTGGAAAGAAGATTCATAGTCATTGGTCAACTAAAGCCAAATCTGAACTTGTATATTTCCTATTTAATTGCCATAACATATATATATGTGTATTTTCCATAAAATGACTAAACTGATGATGAATCCAATTGCTTCTCAATTTGAAGGAAAAATAGCTAGAAGAAAAGTTCACTCGGGGCAAAACGAACACTTTAGTATGATTATCCATGGTCCTCTCTATGCCAGAATTGTTTGATATGAAACAGATGTCTTAAGTTAAAGATTCCTAAAATCTACTTCCTTGCATATGCCTCCATGTTGTCTTCTGCCTAGTCGCTATCTAAGACAAAGGGCAGTAACTGAAAGTAAGTGCCATGGAGAGCTCTTTCTGTGTCAAAATATATATGTCCCTTTAACAGCTTGGATAAATAAGACCACCCCCCACATCATTTTCGTTTTCCCAACATTTGAGTTACTTTTCCAATAATGCGCTTTCATTGCAGCGTTGGGTTACGTATTGCTTATTGGTCTGCTAGCTTTCTCATGGTACAGATCAATGATTTTGGAGGGCTGTAGCCAAAGA